ATGTTATGCTATAACATTTTTATAATTTTTAGAGGCCGTGCGTAACCTTCATAACATGTCTCCTCTTTATCATTTTTTTGCGTCAACTAGATATTCATACTAATAATTGGAAGCATTCAAGGAAAAAGCTTCCAATCAACCGGCCGATCTTTCTCGCTGCATCAGTCGCTCGCGCGGCCGTCAGATCGCAGCCCATTGGTACACTAGATTGTGAGGGCGCGTGACTCGCATGAAGACTTGGTGCATGTGCCTGGTCCCTACTACCTGGGCCAACCCTATTCATTGCAAATAAATTCCGCAACATCGGTAATGTTGCAAAACTTGCTCCCGCAACATCACCTACGTTGCATGAATGTGAAGGCAAAAAAAATTCTGCAACATTACGTTTGTTGCATAAAAGTGGAGACATTTTTTTTCTGCGACATCACCACGGTTGCAAAAATTTCTGCAGCAGTACCATTCTTACAAAAGTTGCATCACGTCTCCGCACAAAGTCTTTGTTTCAGCAACAACCAACTTGTTGCAATTCATGAAGTCACACGATAACTCTTCAGAGTGGTTTGCAACAAAGTCGTTGTTGCAGACGGATGAGCGTAACAACTAGCTTGTTGCAATTTGTGACGCTCACGTGGGGAGATCTAACGGCGTGGGAGGTGGTCGAACCTAGCACGACCCTTGTTTCTGCAACACCCCACTTGTTGCAGAAGGGAGGTGGGGAACGTGGGTGGTACATTGGACGGACAGTAGCATGTCCATCCAATGGCCAGCTAGGCGGCGGATGTTTTTAACTAATCCACCGACCGACACGTCGCGCAGCCCGGCATTCAAACACTAAAATTGGATTAAAATTCGAACAACATTGAAATACATAGTTTTTATATGGGGAGGCGTGCTCGGGCCTCCCCATATCCGTCCATATTGGTGCCGGTCAGCCCGGGTTTTTGAGACCGGTTTGAGATATATCTCTGAGTCGTTTTTTACCGGTCACTGACCAGGTCATCCGTCCGAACACGTATGAGGGTGGTTTAAGGCGTCGATTGTAGATGTTCTAAGGGCATCTTCAACAAAGTGCGTCGAAATGGACACACGAACACGTTTGGACGTGTCATCAAACAACGAATGGGCCCGGGCATCTAACCTTTTGCACGAAATGTCCGTGCACGTTTCAAAACTAAATCAAAATTACGCTAGGTATATAATACCTTGTAGGCATGCACTCTAGGCCCGTCCCCGTTGTCATCGTCGTTTTTTTTGAAACGAGGCAAAAGACTTGCCATTTTCATTGATTAAGAAGAAGTGAGAATTTCCCGGTTAATTGACGGAAAATCGGGCTAAAACCGAAACAACCCAACCTATAAACACATGGGCACCACCGGCCAACCTGGCCACCGACATGGAACACACTCC